AACAATGATAACAATAACTAATAATGATAATAATGATAATAGCGATAATTAACAATAATAATGATAATTAATAATGATAATAATGGTAACAATTATAATAGATAATGATAATAATGATAATAGTAATAAATAACCGACAATAATAAAAACAATAATAAGTAATAATGATAGTAAAGCAATGATAGTTTTCAATAATTTTATTTATAATGATAAATAATAATAATTTCATATAACTAATTCTAAATCAAAAAAATGAATTTTCTTTGGACTATACTGAGTGTCATAACAAAATTTATTGATTATCTTGTGAATGAAATTTTTTTTCAATGCATTATTTTTAATGCGTACCAAAATTTTCAGATATTTATCAAGTTTAATTGCTAGAATTTGAGAAAATTTATATTATACAATTTCCTTTTTTCAATAAAATTATACATTGTAGCAATTTTATTTTATATTTTGAAAATTTAATTTTCACTATTTTTTGCATACTTTACAGATCTTTTTTTTGTTTACTTTTATTTTGCTAAATGATTCAGATGTAGACAAAAGAATTGTTCGGAAAATGAAATATTAATTAATGGGACATGTTTATCTCGCGTGATTCCCGGAGAACAATGTAAGGATTCAGCGCAATGTTTAGACGGATCAAAGTGTTCTTCCATCAGACATGCTTGCATTTGTCTGGAAGGAATGAATAATATTGGTGGATACTGTCGAAAATTGTCTTACACTGATCCATGTGATTCTGTTTCTCTGGTATCTCTTGCTTTTTGTTATCAATCAGGGAATTTGAATGTAAATTTGATAATCTAAGTAAGCAGTAAATGAATATGATAGACGATTAAATGAAGTATTCACGATACGATTTGTTTTAAAATTTTTTTTAATGAAAAAACCTTTTGAAGCAAAAAAATCCGCCATGAAACGTATCAAAGTCTATAAATTGGATCATCTCTTAAAATTATGAATGGAAAAGAATAATGATAATTATATTCAAATAAAATCCAAATAATTTGGAGATTTCCATTTATATGTATTTTTTAAATTTTGCAAAGATTTGACAAATGCTATGAATTATGTGAAATAAATGAAAACTATATTAATTCAAGGTATATGCTAATGAAAGTTGCGTACCGATCGTAAAGCCAGGCGATCAGTGTATTTATGATTTGCAATGCCTCGGTGGATCTCTTTGCACAGATGGTTATTGTAATTGTCGTCCGGTTACTACAAATATCAATGGATACTGTGTTGGATCGATGTTATGTAATCATCATGAAGTAATTCTTAGTTTTCTTCTTCCCTATCAAGTATTTTTACCAAAATTATGTAAATTTTAAAAACAATGATTTTGTTCACAGATCAATATCTTAACGCAATAATAAAACATAATTATAAACAAATATTAGAATGGATAAAATTTCAAGTGTTAAAAGAAGCTTTGTTAACTTTTTGTAATAGAGTTTTAAAATGACAGATATTTTTGAATAATCAATGTTTCAAACGACTTACTCTCAATGAATCATGTCTGATAAGTCAACAATGTCCTAATAATGCTATATGCAATTATGAGGCACGATGTGTTTGCCCGATAGGAATGGTGGTAAGTTAAATAATATTGAAATAATAGAACAAATAACTCATCAACATTTTTCAATAAAATAAATGTTTTTATCTTTGATTGAATTTGTTGCTTTAAAAGAATGTTGAAACATTTTGAAAATTCTTTTTTTTGATGATTTAAAAAGTTTTTTCATTTATTAAAATTTGACCAATTTATTCTTCTGGCGACGTTCATAATTTTAACATTAAAAAGAAAAGAAACTATCATTATAAGGTAATGAATGGGCAATGTCAACCTTCTCAAATCAATTATTGCAAGAATATCGAAGTTATGGTTAGTTACTATTTAAATTTAAATTTATTATCAATTTTGCTTCTATCACTTTTGAGCGAGAATGAAAATTTTTGGCTTAATTTGTATCGTATACTTTTTTTGCTCATCTAATGATAGCATTTATAAAAATTAAGGGGATATAATTTAAAAAATTATAAAAAAACTTATTGGATTAGTAAATTTAGTAGGAATACAGTAAGTTAATTAAAACTATCGCAATAAAAATTCAAAAAAATTCACTTCAAGTTAGTTGAGTTTCGTGATAAATCTGCATATGTATTATGATTTCTAATTAATATACTTTTTTTCTTTCATTAATAGATAATTAAATTAAATTCCAATTATATAACACTTGCGTAATTACAGTAAGAATAGAAATTCCAGTGAAATATTAGATTTATTATGCATTTACTAACAAAAATAGTCAGTATTTTTCGTCTAACTTATGGTCAATTTTAGGTGAATGGACGATGCGTAAAAAGACGTGTTCCGGGTACCACATGCATTGCTAATGAGCAATGCTTAGATGAATCAAATTGCTCGAATGGATACTGTAAATGTGCTAATGGTACTAAACTTCTCTCAAGGTTAATAAAATTTCTGAATAGTCAAAATTTTCGCTAACATTCTATATGGAAACAATAGATATGATAGATTTAGAATTTTACAGAAGATTTTTAGTTTTTCCATATTACTTTTATTACTTCCCAGATACTGTATTCGGCGTAATGGAACTGAAAAATGTGATACCTATCAAACTTATGTAAATGAAAAATGCTTAGATCTAGCAATACCAGGCGAAGATTGTATTGATGATTTACAATGTCTTGCAGCTTCAATATGTCGTGCAGGTAAATTTTAATAAAAATTATAAATTACACTAAAAATTTAATTAATTTGATTTAACTAAGTTTGATTCTGTTATTTTGTTACTTTTACTTTCTATTTTCCTAAAAAAAATATACATATGCAAGCAACAGGGATTTATTTAATTGAACATACAATTTTTATAACATTTATAAATTGATGTATACAATTTATTGCAGTTGCATATATTTCAGTGACCAGTACAATAGCAAAAATAGCAATTAATTTTTGCCAAACTGATCTTTCATCTTTTCATCACCTCAATTAATTTGTCTGAATGAAAGCACTGATGCAACTCTGATATATGTTCTTTGAGATAATTTGACTTTTTTTGATGTTGACTTTCAATTAGGTAAATGTGTATGTCCAAATGGATATATTGAAGTGAAGAAATACTGTGTTCGAGATCTTAGACCATCAACGGGATGTAATAACAATCAGGTATGATATCATGTTGAATACGCTAATGTCTTACAATATAATATGTGTTAGTCACAGACATCATCGGATAGAACATTAAAGTTTAACTTTTCTCCTATTTTTCCAGTTTCATCATAATTTATTTATTCAAAAAATTTCAAAGAATGATCGAAATCAAAATTGAAAGTAAAAGTAATAAAAACATATATTTCTTTATTTTAATAATTATTTATTTTGGGCAAAAAATATCATTTTTTTTTTAATTTCAGGTTTTGATAAATGGTCATTGCTATGATTTTGCAAAAATTGGTCAATATTGTATCAACACAGCTGTTTGCTTAGGTGGTTCCATTTGTTACAATAATTACTGTTCTTGTCCAAAGGATACAATTGCTCAAAATGGACAGTGTCGAAGAGAACAACGTTGTCTCGAGAATGAAATTCAAATAAATGGAAAATGTTATCCACGGATTAATATTGGACAGCATTGTCAATTTACTAAGCAATGTACATCAATTGCAACTTGTCAAAATAACATCTGTATCTGTCCACCAGGTACCGTATCACAAAATAACATTTGCATATCATCTGGTCCATGTGCTACTGGACAAATATACATTGCTGAAAGTTGCTGGGACATAGCCTCTATTGGAGAGGAATGTGAGTTCACACAACAATGTCAGGGTTATTCCACATGTATCAATGATAGATGCCAATGTCCTAGCGATACCGCGGTGCGAAATGGATTATGCACTAAAGAACAGTGCAATAGCAATGAAGTTATGATCGATGGAATATGTTTCAATACAGTATGCTCCTATTTAAATGTTATATTGTATGAAAATTCACAAAACTTTTAAAATTTTCAATTTTCTATTTTTAAATCATTTTTTTAAAACAATTACAAAATCTCCAATCAATCAATTAATCATTTACTTATGCACATCCTATATTATAAAATGGAACTATTGTTAATTTTAATACTTTAAGCATAAAATTTCAAACATGCTATAAAATTTTCTCATATATTCTCCGAGATGTTTTACTCTAACTTTGTTTTATTATCATTTGATAAATTCATTTAAGTTACAATTTATATTATCTTAACAAATCGATAAATTGCAAGGGCTTAAATAATTAATTATTAATTAACAATAACATTAGTTAAACTATGGATTAATTTATACAGGTAAAAATTGATGATTTTTGTTATCATACGAAACAATGTCAAAGAAATGCGACTTGTCAAAGAGGTAAATGTACATGTCCGCCAGGTACAATTAATTCTAATAATACCTGTATTATTAACACAAAATGTCAGCCGTATCAGATTTCCGTCAATGATACATGTCTTGATACTGTCTCTATTGGAATGACTTGCCAAGATAATTCTCAATGCATCGGTTTGTTTTGTAATTTAAATTAAACATTTTTTAAATTAAAATGTTAAGTGAGAAAAATTTTCATATTACTCTCATTAGTTTTTTTTTTTTAATAAATGATGAAACTTGAAATTTTGCTTTCTTTTTTACTTTATTCTAAGTGTGTTACCATCCTATGAAAATATTTTTTACTTTCTTTTTTAAACAATTTAGTCATATAATGGCTATTTCTTATTATCTTCTGTACAATATTCGTAAGCATAACATTGATAAATTTTAATTTCTCAAACATTTATAATATTTCTATTTTGAAAAGTTTAATTCAAATGTAAATTATCGGATGATTGATTAATTAAAAAGGAGAAAAAAATTTTGCAGAATCAGCAAGTTGTGTGCCAGGAATAAATTTGATCAATTCTAATAATCGAACATGTCAGTGTAATAATGGTATGATATTTAATGGTGCCAAATGTCTGGCCTCACCGATTAAATGTCCCGTATCTACCGTTTATGTTGTTGGCAAAGTTTGTTATCCTTTGGTGGAAATAGGACAATTCTGTTTGTATGCTATCCAATGTATGGGTTATTCAGTGTGTTCAGGCTACATATGTAAATGTCCTCTTGGCTATACTGCTATTCATAATGTTTGCAGGAGAATTAATTGATAGTGATAATATAATATGATGATATGTTCGCTGTCATATTTCTTATCTTTTAACTTTCAACTAATCTTACGAATATATTTGCATAATTGTTGATTAAATCTATTTTCGTCCTTTTGTTTTCATTCATTTTAATGAACATTCAATATTTTATATATAGTTCTCAGCAAAATTTAATCCTAATTAATAATAATTAAGAGTTTATGAAAAAATATAAATAATAAAGGAAGCAATTATAATTTTAGGGAATTATCGCATCTCAATTTTTATCTCTATCCCTATAATTTTAGAAATTCTGAAGGAATTTTATTGCTATAACTTTAAAATCAATTGTTGAATGAAATGATTTACAATGGTGAATAGTGGAAAATGTTTGCTGAAGATAACTTTTTGGGTATTATCAAAGCAAATTTTTTAAAATGTAAAGACATTTAAAAGAATAAATCCATTAAAGATATGATAAATATGCTAAAGCAAGAAAAAATTTCACTTAAACTTTTCCTTAACAAACTTTATCAGTTAACAAACCTTAACAAACCTTACCAGAATTTCTTCATAACAAACCTTATCAGTTCAGTTGGAACGATTGCAAAGCTAATTTGAACACTTTCTACCATTTGGTAAATGTATAATTGAATTAGAGTAGAGGAAGATTTATTTCAAAATTAGAAATAACTAATTGATAGGATAAAGTAAAAAAATTTAACATCAAAATAAATTTTAATTCGATTGAATGAGAGACAAATATTTGAATATAAGTGGATTTGTATACAAACCAGTTGATTTTATTTTGTATGAATGAAAGGGTATTTATCTATATCATAGACACATATGAAAAATTAGCTTAATTTGTTTATTGAGCAAAAATCAAAAACAATAAATAATATAGAATATCATATCACAGATAAATAGTTGTTATCATTTGATAGAGGCGCACCACACTTCTCCCAATAAGGTGGTCATTATCAGCAATTTATTACTATTGATAGCGATAATAAATGAGAACGAATTAAATATTTGTATTATCATTATCAATATATTTGCAATTATTACTATTATTGTTGGATAAGAAATCATTCCACATTTGGCGATAGTTTAATTCAATTCGATTAATATTCATATTTGCCACTTCAATATTCACCGTGCTTAAGCGTGTGTCGGATCGTAAATATACAAATTGTACCTGTAATCGAGAAAACAAATTTAAAATTAATTGCAAGCAAAAAAAAAAAAACTAGATAGACAATAAATATAAAAATGAAATTCAAACATCATCCCTGATCGAATTGATAGATCGAAAATTGGAAATGATAATATCTTTTGATCTTAATTTTTGGTCAATCGCTGTTTTATTTAAGCAAGAAATGTCGGAAATACCTCAAGTTTAGTTCGTGCTTTATTAATTTCAGCCAATTCTCCACATGTTTACCTGTGCTTCGATCTTTTTAATTTCGTCCTCTAATTCTATTATTCTCTTAGCATCTACCGAGAAAAAAAATGTCCTCATTTATGCCATTTCTGTCATACTTAATTAATTAATAATACTTAGGATAATCAAGGTTTTTAACTTTGTGAAATTCAATTTTTGAAAAACCTGGTCTTTTGGACAACTGCGCCCTGATGTTTGCATGCCGCTCACGAAGTGATCCGGCTGCTTCACCCAGGATTTTTAGCTGTGCATCGTTCTGTAATTGCATTACTTGAAGGTGTTCGAATATAAGTACTCAAAGAATCTATTATAATTTGAACTCGTATTTTAATTTTAATAATATTTTATAAAGTCATAAAATAATACGGCCAATTTTTTTCTTTCGGTAAGTCGATTTAGGAGAGTTATGTTAATCCAATTGATGAATAATTCGAAGTTTACGCTTGATTCAGTCGACTTAGTTAAATCTGATCAATCGAAATTTAAATTCAATCTAATCAAAATATTAAAGTTTGCATCCAACAATTGACAAAATATCACCTCTTCCAATCATTTACTTTATCAGTATCAATTTTTTATTGCATGAAGCTTTGATACAATGCTTTGTGATGAGCACAAATTATTTTGATCTCATTTAATTCGTTTCTAACATCATCTTGCTAAAATTCTATTGGGCTAATTAAATTTATAGTAATCACTTTTTTATTGGATATTCTTCTACTCGTAAGAAGTCAATGGAAAAAAGAAGTCAATGGATTAAAAAGTCTTTTTGAGAAAAAGTAAAGAGGAGGGAAGAAAAAAAGGTTCACTTTTCCTAGTTTTCTAACTCTTTTCTTAAAATTTTTCACTGCAGTAAAATCATTGTTTTTGTCCCAAAAATATATTTTGTCGAAAACTCGTTTTTTACATTCTCTGAAATTTCCTTCACAATTTCATTACTTTAATTCAATTTCCAAACCCATTCCGGTGAGATCAATTTTTTGTTTTAGACGAGTAAAAAAATTTTTTTCAAAAAAATGTAGTGAAAATTCGAAGCTATTTGGAGTTAAGAGTGATAGAATTTTAAAAAAAAAATTTTTTTAAAACTGATAGAAACGAAAATAAGTTTACTATTGGAAGCATACCATTGGCATTGAATTACATGAAAATGACTGCATCGCAATTAAATATAATCCAATAGATGTATCACATTCACGAATAATAATACGAATTATTTAAAAAATCCTTCAACTTTCTAAAATTCAACCAGTTCTATTTGTTCAAATAGGTATTTGAATTTTTATCATGAAAATTGAAATGAATGTAGCAGTTTTAAGCAGCTGCAAAGTTCCTTTGAAATTACCAATTTTATTCTGTCGCATCTCAATCCAAATATGTCACGATACTTAGCTGCAAATTACAACAACTGATTAATTAATTTTAAATTAATGCAATCAGTCCATATTGATAAGATTTTTGTTCTGTTAAAAAAAGTTTCAACAATATACAGCGCTTAAATATTTGATTTAATTTGGTACATTTTCTATTTCAAGAAGCTATAGGTACTGCTTTGTTTTTTTAATTTTGCAAATATAATTTGCAATTAATATAATTCATTAAATTGTCAAACAAATTTGGTTTGGTGAAGCTACAATTTCTTTTTTTTTAAATCGCTGAAAACTAAATGTCATAATGTGAAATATCTATGAAATCTGTTTTACTGCACGATTGAAAAGACTTTCTTGCTGTACTCTCGTGGGATATTTGTGAAAGAAAATGAATGAATGGATTATACCGATGGTTTGTTTATTCATATGATAGTGCAATGACCTCGAAAATTAATACATACGTCAGGTTACAGTACCTGGAAAAATTTGTTGTTACCTGAAAAGTTCAAAATACTTTAACAATACTGTTAAAAATCTTTCATTATTTAATATAATTTCTCTCGAATTTTAGAATTTCAAATAGATATTATAATAAGACACTGACATTATGTTAAAGAAAAAGGAATAAAGTAAATCACTTTTGTCTCTGAAATATGCATCAGATAAATTTGTGCATCAAAAGGTAGCATTCAATTAAGCGCAAAAATGATAAAGCGGTCATATCAAAGATGAGAAAAGATAAGCAAATCATATTTGAATAGGAAAATTCCATGGAATAGTTATTAAAAAGAAATAGGAATTCCAATGTTAAATATTCAATTTATGAGAATTTTATACTAATTTGAACAAAAGAAAATATTTAGAAAAGAACGAATAATCATTTAAAAAGCAGAATGAAGACATCGTTAAAAAATAAATAAACTGGACAGAAATTTTATCTGCACCGTATTTTTTTCGCAATAAATCAAATTCCAATTTCAGTCTTTTTTGCCGATCATTAATTTGGCATAAATTGTTGTAAAAAGTAATAATTAAATAAAAATTAATCATTTAAATTAATCATTTAAAATACTTAAGTGATTAAAAGGTATGTGCAAAAATAGCGAAAAAATTAGAAAATGATAAAAATTTGCAATAACATTTCATAATGAAAATATTTGGCACAAAAGCAGGATTTAAGTTCATTTGAATAATCAATGGAAGAGATTAGTGTGATTAAAATAGCTCACTTTAACAAACGCTTTAGTAATGATATTAAAATTTTCAATTTATTGAAAACTTTATAGGATAAATTTCACAAATAAAAGAAAGAAGCAAAATTCATCATAATATTTTTGTCTGCTTGTTAAAAATATGCTTAAAAATAAAAAAAAAACTAATAATGAAACGATGATTTTTTAAAATAATACAATTATTGTGCCGCTTGCATTTTCCAGTCTTAAATATGAATAGGAAAATCAGTTAAAACCATTTCAAATATTTGGCACTATTTAGCAATTTTAATCTTATTGACATAAAATTAATATTATTAGACTCAGATAGGACTTTTATTCTAAATTGATGTAAGCCTTGATTATTTTACAAAATTAGTAAAAAGTATGAAAATTTCCAGCTAGGCTTGGAAAAATGAGAAAAAAAAAGCAATATGACTTTGGCTTCTGTGATTAAAATTTGCATCGTATCGAAGGGAAAGAGAAATTGGGAAATTGAGTAGTATGAAATTGAAATGTTTTACATGTTCATAAAGATAATTTGCATTTTTTTTGAAACATAAAAGTGTTTACAATATGCAAATTGAAAAAACAATTAAAATTGTCGGAATAAATTTAAATTCTCACGCACGGAAATTTCAGTACACTCCATCCTTGAAATAAAAAACAGTCAAAGTATCCCTCTTCTTTTTATCTCTAATTTTTAACATTATATTGGTCGTTACTTTAAGACAATAACAAAATGTCATCGTTAAGCGAGAATTTCGCGAAAAAATCGAAGGAAAAAGAAAGCCAAAAGGTCAAATTATCTCGTCAGATTTCACTTTCTTTTTTCTTTTTTTAAAGACAATTAGTTGAGATAACTCGGGAAATTACTGCAAGCAGGTAACTTTTCTAGCTCTATACATATTCAATTTCAACAAATTTTTTTACATATTTTCATTATATTTATTGTAGGGCTCAGAACGTCAAGAAATGAAATTTGGCGAGTCGTTAGCATCGTGTTCGGACACAGAATGGGATAGAGCTGATCCAGCTTATGCATCCGAACTTATCAATGTGAAAAAAAAAGCTGTATGCTTAACTTATTTTCAATTTACCAGTCTTTTCTTTCATCCACAAAAAAGCTAAGACACTAACAACGGAAGGAAAACAAAGGGAATAAATGCTATTTTGAAAAATGATATTTTATAACTCGTCAGAGTATTCGATTCAAAAAAAGGATATTTCTTAAATTAGCAATCTGTTTTATTTTCCTTATTATCTATCTAAGTTTATTACTAATTTGAACAGGTGAAATGATTGAGCGTACAATTTTTCATATTTATATTCAAATTTCAAATTATGATGATAACTCCTTCAAATAGTTTTCAGGATAAGGTAACAGTTTTTACTGGGCCGAGTTCGAAAACAATTGAACGGACAATCATTCGAACCGATACCCTTTCGGAAAATCTTGGTGTGACTGATAAATGCAAAATAAATAGAGATATATTGATAAGGAAGGATAGAAATGAACATTGTCCACATTTATCTCGAAAAAATTTTAATTTCATATAGCGAATAATTTTATTTCCAAATTATTGCAATCAGTTGTTATCTTTTCATTTAATTCATAGAATCCCGACTTTCATTTATTTGTTTAATTAACAGAATCTTAAATGTGCAATTTCTTGCTTTAATCATTTGGATGTTGATCAACTTTTTCAGACGAGAACGCTGATGCAATTGGACGGATGGCATCCGCAGTTGCGCACATTTTTCTTTCCGACAAAACAATTCCATCTGTGAATGTTTCCATCAATCTTCAAGAGATTTCGAATGGATCTCAAACTTCTACTGAACCAAGAATATCATGAAGAAAATTTGATTTTATAATATACACAAAAAATTTAATCATGCTAGATGTTAATTTTTTTTTGAATGTTAAGTTTCTTCTTCCATCACTTCATGAAACACTGATTGCCATAATTTCGCAAAATTCAAAACTCCTATTCAATTATAATTTCAAATTTAAATATGAAACGTATATTTGGAACAATATGATATGATTATTCTATAATTGATATTTTATTTTTTGTTTAGAGTAAATAAAATTTTCGAACATTATTGATATTTTTTAATGGGAAATGGAATAAATTACGTTTCATAATGTTATGTAATAACTGAAAAGGTTAACTGTTAAAATTTTAGTAAATATTGAAATTTTCATCTCCTAAATTTTCCGAATACATTTTCGGAAATAAGTTCATGCGAAAAGATTCAATTTAACTGTATCAATTACTGTTTGATGAATAAACACTACTGCTCATCAGATATTTACCCCACGTTATTACGTGACCTATGTATTATGACAATGAAAAGTTTTTACCTGACTTTCTACCATTAAGAGGTGTAGCAATAAATATTCACGACAACTTACAAGGACAGATAAAATAAACTCAGAAAATATTACCTTATTGTATGAAAATTATATAAGCCATTCAAGTGATAGCGATATAAGCCATTTAGCTGCAATAAAATTGTAGAGGCTTAAAACGATAAACGTGTGGGGGGAAATTTTTAAATGGCGTTTTGTTGTTGATTTCGACGCTGTTTGTTGCTGTGTGTTGTGTGGTTTTTTTTGGGTTCATTTAATGTTTTTTGCCAAGTTTTTGTAAGTAATTTCATTCTATTTTTTACTATTTTGTTAAATTGAGGCGCAAAGATCCTTCGTCACTTCCCATAATTAGTTGTTGAAAATAAGTAAGATGATTTTTTTAGTATTTTTGAATCCCTCTGGTTTTCAGGAAATGAGTTATCGTCAACGTCATTCGGCGCACTATCAAAACTTATCAGATAAATATTTGATTGGAAAAAAAGACATTGAGGCGGAATGTTTTCATCGGCAATATTATCATATGTATCGAGCAAGAGTTAAACTGTTGCAGAAACGAATCATTGATAACGCAAAGTTATTACTCGGTATCATCATATATCGGTGAAAAGTATGAAATGAAATTAGAATTTTAAATGTGTTTCACTAGTATTAAGTAGTGTTGCTAATTCGCATTTAACGTTAATAGCGAGAAATATTAACATTAAAAGTAGGATCCGAATTAATTTGTTTGCCTAATTGATATCTAAAAATATTAATAAATGAGCAAAGTTAGCATGTTGAATGATAAAATAAGCGGTTGAGATATCATAGACTTCTTGAATTTGACCTCTTCATAATTTTACTGATATGAAAGAAAAACGAAGAATACAGTGGATCCTATTTCTACTTGGCGAATTTTAAATCAAGGAAAAGTAAATGAAATAATGATAATTAATTTTAAGGTGACGATATTGAACCGTATCAACTTACAAAAGTTAGAAGAGATGATTGGGTTTTGGTCATTGGTACAATAATAAAGCGTGTTAAATTAAGACCAAGCATCCTTCGTGATTTGGCGGAGGAACAGCTTATCCTTCCACAACCAGTTGCTGAAGACAAGTAAGATGATTTGTACTTTTGAAGTTAGTTCAGTTCAGTTTATTATAATGAATTCCTGATAAGTCCAAAATTTTGGTTGATGTGGAAATGATTTTTGACAACAGATTAATAGGTGAAGAAGATTTTGTGGAATTTGAAGACGATGATCAAATTGTACGTCTTTCTGGTGATTTTGTTATGGACGAATTTGCTACAGGATGTGTAGTTGGTATATACGGCATGCAGCTTGACAATGATATCTTTCAAGTTAGTCAGGTGATTTGGCCTTCTAAAGCACCACAACCAACATATCCAGTTCTAAATGATGACAGGTAGTTTCATGTTGCGATTTAAATTGGAAGAAACAACCACTATAGCAGACAGATTTATCTGTATCATTAAGTTAATTTGATTTATTCTAGTAAAAACATACGGCTTCACTTTGCTTACACTTCAATAAATGAGTCGAAATTTTCTTTCAGAAAGCTTATCATTTATTTCTATTAAGATATGTTGTGTTCGTCTCAGGATTCTCTTTCACTGGTCAAGCTGATAAAGATGCTGAAAAGATATTTTCTCTTAATTTGTTACAGAAGTGGCTTTGTGGCTCACTACCGCTATTCGAAAAGGTTTACACGTTTTGAAATGATTTTCAACTATATATATATATATATATATATATATATATATATAT